TTCCTGGAGGCCTTTCGGCCGCTGGGGGCTAGTTGTCGGTCTTTGGGGCGATCTTTTCGGGAACGGCTCCAAAGGCCACTTCGCCTTCCTCTTCTTTGGGATGGCCAACAAGGCGAGTACGGTAACATCTATGTCAACATCTGAACGGCGAATCTGTGATTTTGGCATGTTGGGGGTCATCTTGGATTCCTTTCGGGGCGTGTTGGATGCTCCTTCGGATTTCGGCCACCTGGAGGCCTCCTCAGGCGGTCTCGTAGCGCTTGTGGGCCTCATCAGGGCCTCTTGCTACGGGGGGAGGGCTTCCGACCCCACCCTTCCCCTTTTTCGAAGCCAGGTGCTGCCTTTCTAAAGGGACGGTGGGCTTCCGAAGCTGCCCCCCGCCTCCCCCTTTCGAAGAGAGGGCCCCCGTTCCACAGGGATGGGGCTTCGGAAGCCCGGCCCCCCCTCCCCTCTTGTACTTTCTTTCTAGCGTTGAAAAGCGTCAGAGGTGCCCCCCACCCTACCTGGTCCGATGGGGAGGAAGAGGACTCGAGCGCGCGTGGCCGCAAAGAGCGGGGCCAACGATGACCGACGACGACGACGATGACGACGACGACAACGACGACGGCGACGACGACGGCGGCGGCGGCGACGACGCTCACGACGGCGGCGAGGTCGACGACGACGACGATGACGGCGACGACGACGACGGTTCGAGAGGAGGAAGATGAGGAGGGGGAGCAGAGCTCCGCACCCGTCCGCGGCATCATTCGTTTGCTACCTCGCCTGAGTCGGCGAGCTTTCTGCACCGTTTCAGAAAGCTGCGAGCCCCGTGCTTGAAGCCCGGTCAACGTCAACAGGAGGAACAGAGACTGGAGCAGGAGCGGAGGGAGTTGGGACGAGGAGGAGGAGGAGGAGGAGGAGGAGGAGGAGGAGGAGGAGGAGCAGGGGGAGCAGGAGGAGGACGCGGAGGAGGAGGAGGAGGAGGAGAGGAGGAGGAGGAGGAGGAGGAGGAGCAGGGGGAGGAGGAGGAGGAGGATGATGATGATGAGGAGGAGGATGAGAAAAGCAGGTGCGGCGGCGCGTTCGCCATCCACCCCTACGACGGCAGCCTGGGCAAGTACGCCTGCAAGCAGGGCCAGCTCGGGCTGCCCGCCCACGCGCAGGCCGCGGCGAGCAGGCCTCCGCGCGTCCCTCTCCTCCCCTCCCTCCTGCCTCCCTCCCTCCCCCCTCCTTCCCTCCTCTTCCTCCTTGGCCCCCTCCTCCTGCTTCTCCGCCTCCTCACCCCTCCCCCCCCGCCTCTCTCCTCGTCCTGCCTTCTCTTCGTCCTCCTCCTTCTCCTCTCCATCCTCCCCTCTCCCTCCCGTCTCCACCGCCTCTCTCTCTCCCTCTCTCTCCTCCCCGATGCCCTCTCCCCTCTCGTTTTCGTCCTTCTACTCCTCGCTCTTCCCTTCCTGCTCCCTTTGCGTATCCGTCCTCGTCCTCCACCTTCCCCTTTCTCCTCATCATCATGTCCCACTCTTCTCCTCTCCCTCCCCCCGCCTCTTCCTCCCCTCCCCTCCTCCCTCCTTCTCCCCCTATCCTTGTTCCTTATGAATGTCCCCCCCTGTCGCACCCAAACTCGTCGTTAGGGCGGGCCAGGCGTTTCGCTGGAGTTTTCCTCATCCCACGTCTGCTCCTGAAGCCTGTACTTTGCAACATTTTGAAGGATGGAGGGCAGGCGGTTTTCAACAGGCCGCTCTCGCTTTCGTGCCGCGCACTTTCGTTCCACAAGTTTGCAACATACTCAAGGATGGTTGGGGGCCTTGTTTCAAACTGTGGTTCTCGCCTTTGCGCCGCGTGCATTCGTCTCAAAAATTATGCCGCAGCTTCAAGGATGGAGGACGAGTGGTTTTCACAATGTGAGCCGAGCCTTAGCGCCGCGCGCATTCGCTTTACATGTTTGTCCCAGGACTGGCGTTCTGACACGATCTCGGGCTGTCAGGGCGCAGCAGTCACGATGCTTCGTGGTGCTGAAGTCTCACGAATGGCGTTCTGGCGCGGCTTACGATTCTCAGGATACAAAAGTTTGATTCATGGCGTTGGAAGTCTCAGGAATGGTGTTCCAGCGCGCTCGAGGATTCTCACACTGTTGTTTTTTTTAATGGGGCATTGCCCACAATGCAATAGCGTCTTGACTGGGCAAATCTTTTCTAGGGACCTATGAACGGGGAACTTGGAGGGAGGGTGTACTGCAACATCGTTGATGCGTCTTGGTTGTGTACTGGCCCCTCCTCCTCCCCCCCAACGACGACGCTGCCGCGACGCCGACGACCTCCCTGAAGGGGCGCCTCGGCGCGGGACGCGGGCATCTTCTCCGAGGATTACGCGCGCTTCCCGGGCGGCGGCATGCGCGCCAAGGGCCTGGCGACGCTCATCGAGCGCTTCGAGGCGGGCGGGCTCTGGCTGCTCCCCCGGACCTCCCTTCTCAGTGAACAGAACCAACGCGGAGGTTCCTCGCTTCTTCGACTTTCCGGCCCTT